CACACACACACACACACACACACACACACACACACACACACACACACACACACACACACACGTATGATTGACCAGTAAAGAACACATATTAATCTATAGTCTAAGTTCACTTGCTAATGTAAACCTGTGAACAAATTGAGGTTTCCTGCTAAAAGCAATTTAGTTTCAGGCAGTAGATGGTGTATTATGATGATTTAGTTTCATATTGAATAACAAAATGTTTACTGGATCTATTTATTAAATTCCTGGCTAAACTTGGATCAGGGTTAGGTTAGGTTAAACTTCCAAACTAATGAAAATGCAGAATATTTACATAGTAAACTTTAAAGTAAATGGCAGAATAAAACATTTCGACTTGGGGTTTTATAATAATGTGTTTTAGTTTTCAATAGATAATTGAAAGGCTGATTTTATTGATTTACATCTTTGTGATTGCTCCTTAGCACTTTTCATGCAAACAATAAACAAAGCTGGTTCAAAATGTCAACATCTGGTTCGATTTCCAACAAAAATATCCATAATCCGGAGAACTGTTCACCTTCCTGCTGCTACACTCCACTTTTCTCTTTTATCCAGCTGCGGTATTTGGTAACTCGGGTGTAGACACCAGGTCTGAAACTTAGAGCACAACCTTTGCCCCAGCTCGTCACGCCTGCCAGGAAAAAACGTCCATGGGAGTTGGCGACAGACAGGGGCCCGCCAGAGTCACCCTGAGAGTTAGAAAGAAGAGTCACAGCAGAACTTGACATTCAGCTCACTTAATTTACTGAGAAATATCTCCGACTGAATCCCAACAAGCATCACAATACAAACCATGTGAATTTCTGAAGGCTTTTACACACTAAAAACTGATGTTATTTTGCTGGAAGGATTTGTGGCATTTCTTTTCTTGAACCAGGCTCGATTTTCTGATCCGACTAATCATATCGCTGATTTTGGAAATCAGATGAAGCTGCCAACAAGAGCTCAAACTGCCTTGCAATGTGTACGACAGCTTTACTGCTGTCTTTGCCAAAAAGTGATTTCTGGTGTTTGCAGGAATTTAAGGTCTTATAAATAACTTGTTGACCTAAAATCAGTCAAAAATAGGTCAATCACATCTCTCATGAAGAATATCAATTAGCCAGAAAGTGACTTTTATATATGCTGTAATTATCCAGGTAAAATTAACATTGACATTAAAAATGTATTTTAAGCTTACTTGAAGTGATCAAAAAAGACCTGGATTGATGAGAATATGGGTACAAATAAAAAGAGAAGATATTTGAAGAATATTATGAATATTATGAAGATATTTCAAAAACAGACAATTTCTTTGTTTTATATGTAACCCTGTCATAAATCTTTTTCACGACAGTCTTTTTACTGATATAAGTAAATATATCAGATGTAAAAAAGAAAAACCCACAGACAACCATTGGAAATCACTTTTTGGCACAACACTGGCAACAAAGGAAATTTCTACAAATCAACTACAATAATTTCTACAATCAAATCAGTCGATCTGAGTCGAGTCGAGTCGTGGCCAGTCGATCAGAGCAGGCACTAATGAAAAGGTGCTAACAACCAGATTGCAAGCATGTGTGAATGGTTTGTACCTGACAGGTATCCACGCCTCCTGAAAGGAATCCGGCACATAACATGTTATCTGTGACCCTGTAATACAGGAGGAGATTACACAACCGACTGCTGAAGATCAGAATTTCCGCCATCTGGAGGACACTCGCTGAGACACCTGAGAGACAACAAGATCATATCATGTAGAGCTTGTGGATGAATAACAAAAAAAATAGATTCTGTTTGTAAAAGTTTATATTAAACCAAACTACCTCCACAGATCTGCTCCCACTAACTACTCAAATGTTTGTCTTTCTCATTATTTTATTCAAACTCATCACTTCCAGTGTGGAAAGAGCTTTGAGACAGGCAGTGTTTCAGTACTTCTTTATTATCAGCTCACCTCCCTGCAGGGTAGTCCCCCAGCCGGTGATCCAAGCCTCTTGGTCTGAGTGGAAGTAGTAGGTGGAGGAAGGCAGGCAGATGGGTCTGATGTGCTGGGTTAGGCTGACTCTGGTGTCCAGCTCCATCAGAGCGATGTCATTGTCTTCAGTGTATCTGTTGTAGTACCTGTGAGCAATGATCTGCTTCACACCCCTCTTTACTGTCCACTCATTGGTCTGGTTCTGCACATGAAGGCCTAAAAAGGCCTCCCATTGGTCAGCGTGAGAGAGCCTATATCAATAAAACAGACAAGGCTGTAAACAACTTCTTTAACCTCAAATCTGGAATTGAATTTAAAATAAAATACTGAATTCGATCAATGATTATTAGCCATTCAGTGAAAGACTAACTGTCAGGGATTCTAACAGCTAGTCCTTTTACTGAATGGCTAATCATGTAAATTAATAAATGGATCATTTTAAATTTATTTCTACTTATATTTAAAGGCCTCTTTACTTTTACGTGGTTTTAAACAAAGCATTAAAAGGATTGAGGAGAGACTTGCATAGCCTCTTGTTTTTCTTAGTATTTAATGATGGCACAATAAACTACCTTTTGCCTGTAATAAGTCATTTTTGTATAATTAGTGTAAAATATGTTTATAATTCTGTTGACACTGTAAAACTGTCAAAGTATGCTAACGTTAAAACAATGTTTTGAACTGTTCCAAACTCAGAGTAAATTTGTTTGTTAGTTTGGTTTTTTACTGTCTTAAAAGTACAGAGTTTGTCTCCTGAATCCAAATTGGGAGTTGGTTCCCACATAACAGGTGGCTAAAAGGCTCCGACTCCCATTCTACTTTTAAATATCCTGGGAACAAAGGTAAGCCAGGAGTACAAGACTTAGGTACCTGATTGTTCAAGACTTTAGGCAATTGTTGTTCTATTTCCCCGCTATATAAATAAAATGAAATTGAAATGAAAGTTGAATTGACCTTGTGTGTGATTAGAAGGGTTTTAAATTTGATTTTGGATTTAACAGGGAGCCAATAAGGAGAAGCCAGTACAAGAAAGAGATGCTCTCTACTTCCTGTCAGTGCTCTTGCTGCAGCTTTTATGATCAACTGAAGGCTTTACAGGAAGTTTTTAGTACCGCCAGATAATAACGACCTACAGTAGTCCAGCCTAGAATTAATAAATGCATAGACTATTTTTTTTAGCATCACTCTCAGGCAGGATATTTCTAATTGTAGAGCTACTACTGCAAGAAAGCACTCCTACATTCCTGTTTAACATACACATTGAAGTACACATGGTGGTAAAAAATTCCAAGATTCCTCACAGGAAGCCATAGGAATGCCATTTAGAGAAAGTATACAATAATAACTAATAATTCAAAAACATAATGGGGTTCTTAGGATAGAGTTACATAACCTCCACATATTATTTAATATAGTCCACTACTTATTGGCAGTGAAAGCCCTTTTCAAGGCCATATTAACAGTGTCTGTCACACATGAATTGTTATAAAAGGATCTGTGACTGGCCTCAGACTACAGACTGAAACCTTACCTGAAATAAATTAAGCTGATCTGTCATTCAAGGTCATCTTCTGAATCTCGTTCAGTGTGTCTAAATGGCAATCATTAAAAAACATTTTTGTTTTTGTGAAAAAAAAGCATCCAAAGTGAGGCACATTGGATGCTCGGGGTTAAGATTTTGGGTCTGAGATGGAATTTCAGACGACACAACCAAAGAGTGAGAACTGGAATTCCAGGTAGAGAAAACTAGCATTGCACTGGAAGCTGTCTAGAAATTCCAGAGTAGATGACTATGAACGAGAGACTCAGGCAAGGTTTTAAAATTTTAGATGTCTGATCATGGATCCAAGTACAATCTATGATCAAACATCTGAACACTACTAAACACTCAGTACTTCAGATGGAGGAGCTCCTACTTGTAAACTGTAGTGTCTTGGACGCAGTGGGCAGCAGTCAGCAGCCAGCGGTCACTCAGCACAGAGGCTCCACACACGTGTCCTAGCCCCTTGAAGTGGAGGCTCACTTGCCAGGGCCACTCACCCACACTAGCTGACTGACCTCCCACGATACGAGTGCTACTGTACAGATTCGTCCCGCAATCTGAAAGCAAACACAGATCTCAATGTCCAAGTAACTAGAAAAGTCAAACTGCAACCATCTGTGGGTGAGTGTGTGGTAAACATACCACAGTTAGCCTCGTCAGAGCCGTCCTCACAGTCCTGCACTCCATCACACTCTGGGTTCAGTTTACTGATGCAGAGTCCATTACTGCAGTGGAAGGTGAACGCTGAGCACACTGAAGCTAAATGAAAGGAGACACACATGATATCAATCCCTAAGAAAACTCTAATCTAACATGTCTGTGAAGGTTCTCAGTCATCCAGGTCATCGTAGTCTAAGGAGCTTGCAAAGAAAAGTTGCTTGAAGATGTTTCACCTCTCATCCGAGAAGCTTCTTCAGTTCTAAGGTCAAATGGTGGAGAGTCCCAGATTTAAATGCAGTGGGAGTTTCCCCCAAAGAGGGACAAAGGACCCCCTGATGATCCTGTAGCTAATCACATGAGCCAAGGTGTGAAAACGGGTGTGGGTCCCAATCAGCCAGGGTTTCGGGTGAGCTCATTGTGAAACCTGGCCCCACCCTATCATGTGATTTCCTGAGGTCATATGGCCCAGGGTGTGAGTGGGCGTTAAGGGGTCTGGGAAGGGATCT